ATGTCAGAAGTAAAATAAATATCTCATACTCTGGTCTCATGAAGTTGTTAAAATTCAAACATATGACATCTAAATTTACAAATCGTCTTTAATATCACTTAAAGTATCACTTATAATTACATTATTACAATCGATTGGGTGGACCTTATTTCTTTTTGGCTTTATTACTTAGAATCCTTCCATTTGCTTGACGTCAAATTACATCACTAGTTTTGTATGTATAGTTATAGCTTTCAAAAATGGCTCCTTGATCATCAAACTGCTTCCCATTCAAGTCTTTGTCAGTCCAATGAAGCTACATGCGTAGGTGGGTTCCCTAAGCTAATAATATTATACTCTTCATTATCACTGGGTTTGTCTCCAAACCCAGGAAGCAGTGGCTCCCTCGTAAAGTTTAAGTAATATAGGTAGGTTGACGTGTTGTCGGCTTATAGCTAAATGGGTATAATGGCGTTTTTCAAGTTGGTTATGAGTGTTTTATTTTTTTTCCCTTTTTTTTTTTGTTGGCGATTTGATTTAAATTTTATAAAATAATTATCCTGATTATTTCGAGTTAGACTTTATTTTCAATGTCATTGGTTTAAATGAGATGTATGAGAGAGATTGGCCTACATTATTGTAGTAATGTCTACAAAATTAATATCCGAGTTTTATGTATTATCTTCACCAATTGCTAGTTTCTCATATTGGTTGTTATCTAAGGTTTCTTGGTGTTTTTTGAAAGGAAGAATGCCTCCACAGGTTTGTTCTTTTGTTGGAAGTTCTCGTGTATGATATTGTTTTCAGCTCTACACCCTTCACACCACACACCACTTGTCAATAACAAACACCCAAGATGTTGTTTTCAATCAAAAGTTACTTTTCCAATAAGATGTATTTAGACAATATAGATTAGAGAGAGAGAGAGAGAGAGAGAGAGAGAGGGGGGGGGGGGGTTGTCTCATCTTAGTGGTGAAGTTGAGACTATTAAAGAGCAAGTATCAATGTTCTAATCCTAATACATTGCTTTACAATAAACATGCCACTGAAAAAGAGTTTCTGTTTACTGTAAAAAAAAAAAGCCTTATCAATAGAATTTTATTTCTTTTCTTGTTGTTCGTAACATAACAAGAAAAATGTCACCGACTTATTAAAGCTCGTTTGACAATGTTTATGATTTTTTATTTTCTAAAAAACGAAAAACAGAATCAAAAAACAAAAAACGCTTTTCTCGTTTTTGAAAATCGCCCCTCGTTTACAAAACGATGAAAAAAAATAAAATAAAAACGGTTATCAAACGAGTTTTTTTTTTCTTATTTTTTGTAAATATCAAAATAAAAACGAAAAACAAAAAATATAAACGTTACCAAACGGAACCTAAATAAACTCATATTTTAAAGTCATTAGCATGTCAATTGAGGTGTTCTAATCATATCACCAGGGATAATTCGTGTCTGAAGGTACGATGCAATGTGAATAATTTTAAGAGGGATGCTGGTGACCGTTGAATGAGTCTATTTAAGACTATCAGGGTTGTTCGAACCGGTTAACGCATACTTCAATTAATTCTCTTCGATCCGATCAAAGGCAAACTCATCTATGTCAGAAATAGGGTATTCATGAGTGATAAACCGCTCATGATCTAATCACAAAAAATTGTCAAAATTCAAAATTAATACGTTTGAGTTTACAACTTATTTCTACTATCACTTCAAAATATTCTTGAATCTAAGTTCATAGTATTAATCCCCATGATAATAGAGGTTGGTTAAGGGAAGTGGGAATAATAACGCCTTTGACAGATTGAGAAAGTAGCCTTTAATGACTAGGACAGCAAAAACCCATGACCAAATTGGATCAAAATGATGTCATTTCGTATATTTTTATTGGTTTACATAGAGTTAACGACAGTATGGTATGGTTGCACTTGAATGGAATGGTGGAATCAATGAGAAAATGAGTTGGAAAGAGACCTTTAAAAGGATGCTTTATAATCACTCACATAATACCCATTTTATGTTGATTTTTGCTTCAAGCATACTCTATGTGGTGATTGGGTATGAATTGTTATGTTTTTTTTAAAAAAATTATTACATAAAATAGAAGAGTAATGTTAGATTGACTAAAAATAAGACCAAAATTAAAGATTAAATGATGTAATATTGACATAGTGATTTTTTTTTATCTCACTTTTATAAATTTATATTTTAAATACTAGCAATGCACTACGTGCGTACACATGAATAGTTTTTGTACACAAAAATTAATAAAATATATTAGATATATGTGTATCTTAATTAAATATTATTTCAAGTTTATAAACTTAATTTTTCATTCCTTATATTGTATTATAAGGTTATGAAAATTTTGTATGTTATCAAAATTTTGTATCTAACTATTTAAAAAAAAAAAAGATAAAGTTCTAATTTTTTTTTTTTAGAATTTTGTGATTGAGATTGATTTTTTATTGATGTTTGAGAAATTAAATTTCTTAAAATTCATTTGATTAGAATTCTACTTATAATTTCTTGGACAAAATAAAAGTAATTGTCAATATAATAATTACATTGGAGCCTTATTTTAATTAGGAATTAGTTAAGCCAATTAGAATAAGATTTAATATACAACTCTATAATATATATTATCAAGCATATTAAAATTCTAAAAAATTCAAGTTTTATTTAAAAATACACTACAATATCTATTTTTACACAAAATCTTGGTACAATTTAAAAATTTTATTGTGACTGAAGAATTATACTGATGTAAAGTAAATTGACTTTAAAAAACTACATATATGATTATTTTTTATCTTATAAATGAAAGATTTAAACTTTTCGATAAAAAAAAAATACACATATGTTGGTATAATGTTATCTTTTCATATAAGATAAGTGATATTAAATTGATCGAGTTTTTGAAAATTTTTTGAATACTTTATTAAAAATATAATAATGCATATTTTTGCAAGGGTAATATAGTCAATTAAAAAGTTTATAGAATCAATATTTATACATAGAAAATAGATAATTAAAAGAGATGATATAGATAATTTGGAGATGTTATAGAACCAATATTAAAAATTCAAGTTGCTGTGTGTTCTATTATATAGATTTTTGTATAAATATTAAAAAAATTAAGTGATTATTTAAAGAAATTTAGTTAAAATTGAGATGCAATTTTTAAAGTTAAATTAAATTTATTTATTTAGTTTGGATCAGATTTTGAATTGTTAATGTATTCGGATATTGACTACAAAAATAAAAAATGTTTGATTATCGGATTAAACTTTCAAAGTCAAATTCAAATTCAAATCAATCAAAATCTGATTCAAACTCAATTCTTTGGCAACCCTACCCAAAATGGAATCCTATAAGTTCCAAGTTCTAACTCTGATAGGGATTGTAAGTGGAACGGGTCAATCTTAGTACCAGAACAAAGATTGGTAGTACATGGATCAGACGTGGACGTAAAATTTTTTAATCCCATTTAAATGAGGACAATACTCCAACCTGAGTCTTGGGTTCTCGGGCCTAACTTGAATTATGTTAATTTGGGTTCAACATACATCATACCCGAATTAATAAATTTGAGTTTAGTTTGGATTGCACCCCAATTCTAACCCAATTTGTGTGATTGAGAACCAAATTTAGTTTCTACTTGAATCCGACACAAAATCTATAACCTAAGTTTTAAACTCGATCTAAAAGGTTTCAACCCCTAGTTATGTAAATCGAGTTCAGAAACTTAAACATGAGTTCAATGATTTGAGTTGAATCTAAATTTGGGTTGAACTTGAATTGATAATTTTATGACTTAAATTGAATTTCAAATGATCTCTTACCTCATTCAACCCTCTCGAGTTGCACCCCTATCTTGTAAGTTCAAAGATTGGAAAATAGACCATTGCCCTTTTAGTCCAGGCTGGGCTGAGACCAACCACCAAAAATCCTAGAAAGGGAAAAAAAATAGAGCAAAAAATAATAAGAAAAATTATCCTATCATAAAAAATATTAACTATATTTTTACATATAATATTATATGAAATTTAAATTTAAATTTAATTAAAAATAAATTATATTGAAAATTTAGAAGTTGGAATTTAGGACTTTATGTAAACAAATAATCAATGTAAGACTTAATTGTTTTAATAAAAATTTGGTAGGACTTAGACTTACTATTGTTTTGTGGAGAAAAGTAGGAATTTTTTGGTGATTTCTCCAAAATAAAAATAAAAATAAATTAGCACCCAATTTGTTGAAGTGGCCTTGAATCCAAGCCCTACTTTGACAGACCTGGTCAGTCATATGGGCCCCCAACTTTGGGCCTGCTTTCACAATTGAAGTGATACTGACCACATGTAATAAGTCAGTCACGTAGTCCTCCCTTATCAAACTGGGCCACCACCACACATTCACACAATAATCCAAGGCAACTCATCCCCGGATGCGGATCCTCTGCTGTTCGGTTAAAACGACGGCGTCTGCCTTCTTTTTTTTTTTTTTTTTCCCGTTAAGCGGCACCGTTCCATTTTGTTCTTAAACGGTCCAAGAACAACAATTTGGTGCTATTTTTGGCGCACTCCTGTACCAAAAACAAACAACGGTTACAGCGATTCTTAGTTTTGCGATTCGTCTCGTTCATCTATTTCAAGTATTTTTATGTCTATTTCAAATATTTTTAAGTAGATATATATATAAACACACACACACACATATATACACACATACACATCCATAAATTTACATTTTTTTTAATTAAATTTTTCTTGACCTAAATTAAATTTAAAAATTTTGAATCTTTAATTGTTTTGTTTGATCATTATTAAATTTTATGATATGATTTAATTGTGATGTTTTGATTTGTTAATTTATATTCATCGTGGTTTCGAATTTTATCACTACTTTCTCCACGCAACGTCCTGTTCAAAAAAATTAAATATATATATATATATATATATATATATATATATATATATATATATTGAAGCTTGTTTATTCGAGATAAAGAAAAGAGAGAGTATGAACAGTGATAAGCCAATGTTGATGGCCGCTGACGCGAGAAGGCTCTCTGCGTTCATCACTTCGACCATGAGAAAGAGAGTCGGGGTGCTGCAAAGGATGTGTAGGGAGTGTTCATGGGGATTCAGATTTTAGGGCTTTTTTTTTTCGGTCTGATTGGTTTTTTTAAAAAGGCACCAAACAATGCCATTTTAAAAAAACAGTAGGCGCTGTTGTTCCTCGCGAACAGTAGAGGAGCCGGATCCACTCATCCCCTGGCCTCCTGTTAGCCCCTTAGCTCGTTGGCATGGCTAAGACATGTGGGTGACTTGCCCAATGGCGCGTCATGCCAAACCTAATGTGAGGGCGGGCTTGGCTAAGTACTCACATTGTGCAAGATAGCTCCCAAAGGACTTGGTTGCGTGCTGGACTTGGTGGCAAAGTGTTAGAAATGCGAAGGGTTTGTGTGCGATTCTGACAGCTTGATAAATGGGGCATTATGACTTCAGCAGATGATCTTTGTTACTGTCACTTTGGAAAATTGGAAAAGAGGTTTGGTGGCTAAGTCATGCAATAGTTATGGAGACAACAACTGCTCCATCCATGCAAGAAATATTTGATTGACTCAACAACATGGTGATTTGTAAGAAAACCAACTCAGACCTTTGAGGTCAAATCTAATTTGTGCTGACATGTCCTAAAAGGCAACCCAGGTCCATCAGGTGGAGGTGTAATACTCAGGAATTCTAGAGGTCAGCTAGTTCTTGCAGGGTCCTACTGCTACGGTTTTTGTACAAATATGGAGGCAGAGATGAGGGCATTATGGGATGGTCTGTGTTTGTTACAGGATTATGGTTTGACAGATTATCCTCTGGTCATTGAAACAGATTCAAAGGTATTGGTGGATATGATTTCGAAGAGGATCCAATCTTCTTGGCATTTCTGGACTCTATTGGACAAAATATTTTCCCTTCTTCAGAGATTCTCATTCCAAATCAACCATACTTTTAGAGAGGGTAATGCAGTAGCAGACTCCCTGGGTAACAAAGGTGTGATGGATGGCAACTCTAAAACCTATACTGCTACTGATGGTCTTCCAACAGTAATCAAGCAACTTGTATTACAGGATTCTAGAAAAATACGAGTTCTAAGGAAGCGCCTAATGATTTTATGACATGCATTTTGGAGACTCAGTTCTTTTCTTAATTGGAGAATAGATCTACTTTTATCAACAAAAAAAAAATTGCATTTGTTTATTTAGCCAAAGCTAATTGGTGTCAGCATTATCTAGGCAATTGTATTGTAACTATTATTGTAGGTTTATACCCTAAGAAAGATTGGAGACGTTTTGTAACAGACCTTTAGCTGGACTCCTTCTACTTGCTAAGAAGCCAGGGTTGGGACATTATCCTATAAACTCGTGTGTCTACTTTGTGTTTGATATATTATTTGTAAGTCTCTCTTATACGTTTGACTGAGATCGAGTATTAGATCTTAGTGTTCGTAAGACAAACATTCCCATGTAATTTGCCCTTTATGATACATACCATCATAGATTCTTTTCCTAAAATTGAGACTGTTGTGGTAAATATTTAAATTTGAATGAATTACATGAATTGAGAAGTTCATTCCGACTCAAACTTGATTTTAATTTAACCTAAAATCTTACTTGAGTATTATGCACGTTAAATTTTGTTAACTCGAATTACAAACTCTAGTTCGGTAACTTTTGGTAGGTTTAGTAAATAGTAATTTATGTAAATTCTATCTGAAATTAAATCAAATTGAGATTTTATTGTTTAAACAAACCAAAAAACTAAAAATATTATCATACGTTAGATCACATAGAGCGCAAACGCAGGCAGGAGAGCTAAAACGTTAACATTAAAAAAAAAATTGAAAGTGGGAGCGTCATATTATATGCATGCAGACACATATTTACGTATAACAGTTTCATATAAAAAAAATAAAATTAATGCACAACTTATGACAGAAACTATTTAAGTTTTAAATATATGTTAATTATAAAGTCCTAAAATGACAATTATAGTTTACAAATATTATTCTACTTTGATATTATCTTTAGTTCTGTGTCAATATATATTTCCCAAATAACTTTTTGAGCAATAATAAATAAGCATATAAGTAAGTAAGTAAGAGTGTGAATTAGTCGAATTTATAAATATGCAAATTTTATAAAATTATGAGAGCGCAAATTCACAAAGAATTCGCTCTTAAAGCATGAAAAGGTTAAAAATTTAAGCAGATTATGCCACTAAGATTATAACTACTCGATACTCTTGATTGCATTTGGATTGAATGACTCAAATTACAGCCCTCACCACCCAGATAAGAGGCATCTCCAACGGATGTTTCAAATGGGCAAAAATAGTTAAAATTTAGCTATTTTGAAGCAAAAATTCATCTCCATCAGATGTTGTTCATATTATGTAAAATGCATATTTTTTACAGTAGAGTGTCACTGTAGCAATATGTAAACATTTATATATGTTATTTTCTCTCTTTTTATCATAGTTCTTTCATTCTCTCTCTTTGTCCCTTTCACTATTCTCAAAAAATATAATACAAAAGGAATGAAAAATAATAATCAAAAGGAGTAGTTAAAAATATAGAAAATATGTTAGAGTGTGTATTAAAAAAATGAGTAGCTAAAATAGAAAACATTATTTTTTGAATAGTTAAAATAACTACTATTATTGGTGATGCTCTAACTAGCATGCACCAGCAATTGTTTTTCTTTCTTTTTCCCCAGCATTGCAGTCACTTTAAATCATATGCTAATCCACATTTTCACCACCACACCCAACTTCTTGCTACACAGATATCCAAAGTCAAGAAATGGGTGCGACTTAGAAATTTTTATGAAATAAATATTTAGGTTATATACAACAATCTCTCACACCTTTATAACTGAAAATTACAAGTCATGAGTTCAAATGCACAAGGTCGATCTCCTCCTTTATAACACAACCAAAAAAGGTTATAAAAAAAAAAAAAAGGACAACATATAAAAAAGAGCATTAGTTAAATATTTATTTTACACTTATTTAATATTTTAAGTTTTTAGAGTGGATAATATGCAATAATAATAAATAAATCAAACTAAAATCTAGTGACTCTTATTTTGATACACTACCAACTTTTTGTTTGGAGGATCGTGTAGCGTTATATATATTGACCAAAATATGAAATATTTTCATCTTCTTTTTTCACTTGCAGGCACTATTACGGGGTTTAAACCTACTGCATTAAAGTTTAATAACGGGGCAGTGTCATTATGCCAACAAACGTTAATCTCATGCGTCTTTCTCTAACTATTATGTCTTGTTTGGTAGAGTGGAAAGAAAATGAGATGGAAAGAAAAGATTTTCACCGCTTGATTGAGAGGAAAAATAGGATGGAAAAGAAAGTTGGAAGGATTCTCATTTTTTTTTTGTCCACCAAAAATTTTTTCCCCAAATTCGAGTAGAAAATATAAAGAAAAAGAGAGTTTATGTTATTTATAGTAATTTTACTTTTTTCATTTTATTCATTTCTCATCTATCAAATATATGCATGGAAGTTTTAAGATGAAAGAAGACAGCTTATAAAGGAAAAAAACTTCCAAGTTTCAAGATTAAATACCTTTTTTTTTCTTATAAAAGATGTAATTCAATAAGCATGTTACTAGGCCTGTTAAAATTCAACACGATATGATTAACCTATACGAATCGACACATATTAAACGAATTTAGGTGAGACCTTACTGTTCAATCAAATCCCATTGATCTCTCTCTACCCCTCTCTCTCTCTAATTTAACAAACCCACAAAATAAATGGAGACCAAAAAATAATGAAACGTATTATTTCGATATAAAAAAAATTATTTATTATATGTTACCAAGCGTGCATGCTATGTCAAAAAGATTATTTCCCATAGAAAATTTGTTTTTCATATGGAAGGGTATCATAATTTTTTTTATTTCAATAACTTTTCATTCCTTTAATCAAATGGATTCTTATGGTGCGTTGCTGTGTTTGATAGAGTAAATGGGAAAATAAAAGATAAAAATTTAGAATAATATATTTTCTATCCACTAAGAAAAATTAATTTTTTTTTTAATATGATGAAAAAAATATAGATACATATTTTATCATTATATTTATATACGAAATTAATATATACATAATATATAATAGATAAATATGATATATGCATATATTAAAGAATATATAGATAAATAAAATATATTTCAACGCACATAATTAACTTTTTATTCATTTTTTCTCTCAATTTTGGAGGAATTAATTTTGATAAGTAGGAAGGAAAGATTCATCCACTTTTCTATCATTTATATATATTTTTTTCTTATCAAATATGATATTTTATCTATTTCTCAAATTTTTTATCCTTACATTTTTTTATCATTTCTATTCTTTATCATAAAAAACAAAGTATTAAATGGTGGGCCCAGGCATACCAGCAAGGTTACTCCGTTAGCGGTGACTTATAAGTCACGAGTTCGAGTTATAAAAATAACTTCTCTGTTCATCAAAAAAATGCTCTAGATCTGATAATGATAGGAGTTTTGTGTGCTGATTACACAGTTTAACTAAACAAAGTATTAATCTCATGTATTTTTGCATTATTTATTCTCAAATTAGGGATAACTCGTGTCTGAATGTACAATACAATATGAAAACAAATCATTAATCTCATAAGTCTTCTCCTTCTTTATTATCAAACGAGGGATAATTTGTGTCTGATCCTAATATGTAATGTGAATTATTATAAAAGAAATATTTATAATTATTAAAAAAAAATTAAAATTATCGGATAAATTTATTAAAAAAAGATATTAGTGTTTTATATTATAGATAGTTTATTTTTGATGATCATGGTTGCTCTGCAAAGTCATGAGCCTATCTGCCTAGTGTATGTGCTAGCTAGCTCTCGTGGCTGACGAGGCTGTGGGGCCGCTAGCTTTAATGATAAGAGGATCAACTTTTGATCGTCAACTTCGAGGAACTTCATCGAACGGTGCAGAGTTATAATAAAGAAAAAGTTGTCTCTCATCCAAGAGAAGAGCGTATCAGAGCTCTTAATACTTTATTTGAGTTTGAACCTTTGCAGTGATAAAGACAAAGAGACGTCCATTTACGCAACAGATGAGTAGATGACGACACCACAGTCCTTTCTCCTTTTCTTTTTTTTTTTTACAAAAGAAATAAAAAAGTGTAAAAACAAAGATAAAAAAGGCAGATATTTGCCTTTTGTCATGGGTAATATGGTCATGAATTATTATTTTAAAGAAGGCATAAGATTCAAAACCTTAACCTATCCCCACGGGAGATTGTTGATATACAATGAGAGGTATTAGTCGATGATCAAGTTGATCAATTAAATATGCGGACATAATCTAACATGTATCTTAAATGTCCATTTTGCCCTTGTAAGCCCAACCCAAACCAATCAATCAAAAACCTACCTAGCCCGAAAGAATCCCAATCCCATCTCCACTCATTTCAATCGTGTGATGGAATACAATTTCAATCCTAATGTCTAAAAACTCTCATACCATGACGTGAGCAGGTCCCATGACAGTCATTCCTATGGCCCATGTTAAGCAGACCGTCACGACTGGCCCCGATCCAAGGAAATGCAGTCCAAACCCAATT